TCCCCAGCTGGTGCTCCAAGGATGTGGTCTGTCTGTCCTGGTGGGCAGGGAGGTCAGAAATTAACTGGGTGCCACCCTGCAGCACTGGTTGCTGATTCCACACCCTGCTTTTCAAAACTCTGTAGCTGTCTATGGTTCCATGGTAGATAAAATGGTGGGAACAGCATGGTACCTATTATGTTACTGAAACAAAGTATGCCTGCACATCACAATTGGCCTAATGCGGCCTGTCAGCACTGACATCTTCCAACAAGTGAGAATTGCTTGTAGACAGCCTTAATAGTAGCTAAGCAGCTTGAGAAACAATGACTTGCCATTGCCCTCTGTTGATTCACTGATAGTATAATTGCTGGATGCTACAGTTGCATAGCCTAAAAGGTACACCATTAGTCAGGAGTCCATTGAGGATGCCTGGAAATGTGATGTACAGTGGGTGCATTTACACATGCAAATGCTGCTGGATGCATCCATTTGAGAACAGATTTGCTGCTCCTGGCAGCAGTCTGCTCTTGCCCCCTCTGGCCCTATTTCAGCCCCTTGCAGCAGCCAGGGAGAGCTCTAGGCTCCCCCTGGGTGCCAGCCAAGGGGCTGTCAGGGAGCACAGGGCTAGGAGATGGCTGTCTCCTGGCAGGGGCTGGGAGGGTGCTCTCTGCTCCCAGGAGCTGCCTGCTGCTGGGTGGGCTCTGGTGACAGAGCCTGAGTGGGGAAAATGTCCCTCTGCCCCAGCAGCAAGCATCTCCCAGCCCTGGCCCTGAGGGCTTGGAAAGAGCTGCAGGGGAGGGGCAAGTCACAGTCCCCTGGCTTGATCGGCCAGTGGGGTAGCTAGCAGTGAGTCCCCAGCTGAGTGGGGATTCTTAGCCTAGCCAGGGCCTCACTGTTAGCTGCCCAACTGGCAGATCATGGCAAGGGGCTGGGACCTGCCTCTTCCCCACAGCTCTTTCCAAGATCCATTCCTCAATCGCCCAATTATTGGGGGTGGGCAAAAGCTGCAGGGTTGAGGGCATGGGGGTAGGAAAAAGCTGCAGGGTTGAGGGCAGTTCCTGGCCAGCCCTGGGCTGCATGGGGAAGTCTGCACAGGCAGCCTAGACCTAGATGGGGACTGCCTGAAATGAGACATTCCTCAGCCACGCTGCAGCCAAGGGGCAGATCCCCGCCAGCTCTAGGCTGGGTGGGAAACTCTCTGTGCAGTGCGAGATTGTTACTTGCCTTGAATGCGGAGCTGGGGCAGGGAGCTCCCTGCCACTGGAGCACAGAGACATTGTTGCTGCTCAGGGTTCAATAGCAGAGCTGCCCTGGCAGCAAGTAGCTCCTGGGGGCAGGAGGCAATCTCCCACCCCCTGCTGCCTGGCTGATCAAGAGCACATATGCTCCTGGTAAACTGTCTACATGTGACTTACTGTGCATTAATTACTCGGTAGTTAATTTGCTATTCACATTTGCAGGTAGAAAATTAACTACCAAGTAGAGCAAATTATTGTGCAGTTAAGGTCTGCACATGTAGATGCAGTTGCTTATTATGCAGTAATTTGCTCTACTGCACAGTAAAGCATTTCTGTAGACATGCCCAGTGTAATGGTAAATAACAATGGGCAGATTGATTACAGATCAAAAGGAACAGGAAACCAAAATACTCTGCATGTGTTCTCCCATGTAAAAATAACCCTAATGTGTTCTCCCATGTAAAAATGCATGTGTTCTCCCATGTGTTCTCTGCATGTATTCTCCCATGTGTTCTCCCATGTAAAAATAACCCTAATGTGCTTTACGGCACATTAGACTAATGTGCTGTAAAGCAGCACCATCTACACATGTGCAACAATTACTAGTCTAAAGTGCCATTTTCTAGTACTTGTAGATACAGGTACTAGAAAAACAGTGCATTAACTAATGTGCCACATCACACTTGTAGATGCTGATGCAATTTGCTCCCAGTCAGCCTAGGCAGCAAGGGGCCACAAGGGGCAGGGGGAGTTGTCTCAGCTGGCAGGACACTGCTTGCTAGCCACGTGGAGCTTAGGACTCATCCTGATCTCCATGTGGCTGGGAGGGAGCTCCTCTTTCTTCTCCCCACTTTCTCCCCCAAAAGCTGATCTTCCCTCAGCTGGGACAGAACCACAGGCTGAGTCAGGACAGCTCCCTCCACCCTTTGGAGCTTGGGGCTAAGCCAGGGAGAGTCTGGAGCTCCCCCTGGCAGCTGCAGGGTGGTAGAGCAGGGCAGGAGCAGCCTTAGAATCAATGAGTTGAAAGGGACCTGGACAGATCACCTAGTCCAACCCCCTGCCATGGGCAGGAAGGAGCACTGGGGATGGTAGGGGTTGTAAGACCCCAGCCAGGTGCCTGTCTAGTCTCCTTTTGAAGATTTCCAGGGAAGGTGAGAGCACCACCTCTCTGGGAAGCCTATTCCAGGCTCTGGCCACCCTTACAGTGAAGTAGTTCTTCCTAATATCTAACCTAAACCTGTCCTCCCTCAGCTTGTGGCCATTGTTCCTGGTGACTCCAAGGGGGGCCCTAGTGAACAGACTTCACCTAAGTCCCTGCTGATGGCCTCTGATAAGGTTGTAGGCAGCCACAAGTTCCCCCCTCAGTCTCCTCTTGTGAAGACTGAAGAGATTCAGGTCCCTCAGCCTCTCCTCATAGGGCTGGCCA